GCACAAGACCTATACCTACCTTTTTTCTTGCTTAGTTAGTAAAGCATTTCACTGAATCTTGCATTTTAAATGTGCTTTTTGGACTTAAAACAATTACGTTAGACAATACAGTTTTTTATTTTATTTTAGTTTTTAGTTTAGTTTAGTTTGTTGTTTTTTTAATTAATATTTGTAACATATAGCTGTTAGCCTCTGTGATGTCTTTGCGCTATTAATATTTGAAATTTTCTAAAGGACTATGGGAAAAATGAATGGACAATTCTCTTCATGAAATTATCAAATGATCAGGGAATCAGACTGGAGACCTTTTCATTATAAGATATAAGGTAGTTGTCATCAAACTAAGGCCCGTGAGCCAACTCTGGCCCTCCACGCCCCTTTGACTGCCCCTCCAGCCCCTCTGCCCCCCACCAACTGGCCCTATGAGGCAATCCTCAAAAGTTGGCATGGCCTATTTTTAAAAATTACTTTTTGGCAAATAATAACACACCTGCATCTTGTATTTTGTTAATTTTTTCAATTTAAAAATTATATTTATTTGAAGTATTTATGCTTATATAGTAAGTAATTATATGACATATTTACATTTGCTGACAAATTTTCATCACCTGACCAGCTTGAGATCAAACAGTGACAGTCAACGCATGCGCAGAGGACTGTAGTGTAAGGACAGCAAAATGGCAAGTGTTAAAGTACGAAAAGTTGACAGAGTTTTCAAAGAACGGTGGATGACCGATTATTTTTTTGTTCAGTGTAAGGACCATCCAGTTTGTCTGATATGTAAAGAAACTGTGGCAGTTTTCAAAGAATATGATCTGTGTCATCAGGATCATACAATTCTGTTATACAGCCGACCTGACCCTGGCTCCCATCAGAGTCAGGATGTGGCCCCCAGAGAAAAAAGTTTGGTGACCCCTTGTGTAAAGTATAAATCTGATTCTCAATTTCTAATGTAAATGGGTCAGTAAAATAGCTTTATAGATGTTGCATGATATTGCAGACATTAGCAGAATGTCTGTCTATATAGAAGGTTGTGGGTTTAATCCTCACTAGTTATGTTATACTGTTATGTGTTCCTCTGGTTCTTTGGTTCGTCCTCTGACTAACTGTCCTCCAGGTGTAGCTCCAGCCCAGCACCTGCAGCCTCTAATGAGACGCAACACAGACACATCCCTCACTGTCCACTGTCTGCTCCCATTGTTTAATCTGGGCCCTAAAATGGAATTCCTACAAGACTAAAATAAAATTAAGTTAAATAAAATACTTTATTCTGCATGTCCCTGTGTGTCAGATGCTCTCCCCTTGTCTTTGTGGGGTCTTATTCTGTGTAAAAGCTGCTAATAACAATGTAGTTTAGTCTTTACAAACATGTTCTGAAATGTCCCTGTGTGTCAGATGCCCTCCCGGTGTCTCCATGGGGTCTTATTCTGTGCATAAGCTCACCCTTTAGTTTCAGATTTAAGACTTCTCTCAAATTGTATTGCTCGTGGATGGGTTTAAACACAATCTTGACTTAGAAATATAAATTGCAAATCAGTTGAAATGGCGTTTTCAAAAAATGTGCACAAATTTGTATTTTATAGAGGTATTAGGAGCGCACTATGTCTTATTTTAGACTCATCCATTACAGTCCATTAGATATGTGTTAAAACGTGTGTGTGAATTAGTTGGTTGAGGTTCAAGGATTCTTTTTATTATATTTATTTATTTTTTTTGACCAGGTTTTTTATACACGCACAAATACATACATACACACAACCATATCACACACACACACACAACATGTAATGTTTTAGAGTCAGTCATTTCTATGGTCACTGATCAGTTGGGATTTTTTAATGGTGAGAAGAAGCACGGCTATTTGTAGTAAAAAAAACAAAAAACAAAAAAAAACTTGATTTATCTATGGAAAGAAACAAAAAAGACAAATAAAATGCTGATTCCAATTGTGAAGAGACAGACAGGTAGAGAGAGGGGGAGAGAAAGGGCATAGATGGAGAAAGAAAGCAAGGAGTAGAGAGTGGGAAGAAAGAGAGATACAGATAGAGATCCACTTTGGAAAGTTAATGCAGTTATTTGTACTTAAAGGTTGTTTAGAAGATTTTTTAAAGGGAAAAGAAAAACAGCATCAGTCCTCTTTCAAATGTTGTGCATGCGTGACACCACCGTCCTCCTCCACAGCTCCCTTAGTAGAAACATCTCCTCCCGCCTCCTTACTCTAGAAATCACGCTTGTTTACAGCCAGCACGTGTTCAGAATTACTGCTGAAGTGACTTGTCTAGAAATAATTTAGCGACCGACGCGTCAGTTTTTAGACCCTTTGTCTGCTTCATTCGTTCAATCGTTGGAAGAGATCTCCAAGAATCACCTCAGTTTGGCTTTGCTCCTTTTCTCCTTCTTCTTCTTCGGACTTTCGTTTGTGGCGAACTGGTCGTGTATTTTCGTCCACCGTCTCAACAAACTTTGTGCAAACTGAGAGGAAACTACAGTTTAAAAAAGTCTCTAAGAACTGCTGCATAAACCACGTAATCCCTGCGCATCAGTTACACTAGAAAGGTAGGGAGTTTGACAACCCAACAGCCAATAGAAAATGAGGTAGCCTTGTTATCTATTGGCTGATGTTTATCTGCCCTCACTATGTCCACAGATGACAGATTTTTTTCTTTAATCAACATAATTACAAGGCTGCTGCATTTCTGTAAGGGTATTTTAAACTTTCATTGACAATTTGAAACAAAAAAAAATCCTCCATACAACCTTTAAATACACTGTAACAGGAAAAAAAAAAAGCGATTGATCATTTTGAAAAAAAATAATAATAATAATAAATGTACTGGAAACAGAGATTTGCCCACACAAACACAAGCATCATCTCCACATGCTCTCTCTCTCTCTCCTCTCCTCTCTTCCTCCTCGTCTTCCTCTCCCTCCTGTTTTGTGGACTGTACCGTAAAGAGCTGTGTAACATAAGAACATGTGTGAGCTGACCACACCAACCCAAATCCAGAGAGAAAGAGAGAGAGAGAGTGAAAGAAAAGCAAGAGAGGGGAGAGAGGGGGGAGATAGAGAGGGATATAGAGGGAGAAAAGAGAGAGAGGGGGAGAGAGGGAGGGGGAAGAGATAGAGGGATATAGACTGAGAGATAAGAGACAGAGGAGGGGAGACAGAGAGGGAGGGGGAGAAAGATAGAGAGGGATATATAGAGAGAGAAAAGAGGGAGAAAGGGAGAAAGAAAATAGAGAGGGGGGAGAGGGAAGAGATAGGGATATATAGAAAGAGAGAGGGGGAGAGAGAGGGAGGGAGGAGAGAGGGAGCATGAAAGAGAAGGAGGAGGGCGGGAAAGAGCGAGGGGAAGAGAGAGACAGAGAGAGAAATGGAGATGATGAATGAAAAGAAAAATAAAGATGGAGAAAGAGAGAGTGTGTAGAGAGACACAGATGTAGAGAGAGGTAGAGAAAAGGAGAGCTAGGGGGATAGAGAGAGAAAGAGAGCGGAGGTGGGGAGAGAGAAAGTTAGAGACAGAGAGAGCGAGAGATACAGATCGAGAGCCACTTTGGAGAAAGAGAGGGAAGAGAGATTGAGGGAAAGGGAGAGATGGAGAGAGAGAGCGCAGAGACAGACAGATAGAGAGAGTGGAGAGAAAGAGGGGGAGAGAGGGATGGGAGAGAAAGAGAGGGGTGTGGGGTTGTGATGGATGAATCTGTCCCACCCTCAGCTCATATTACAGGCTTATGCTTACATGGACGTCTATATGGAGTCATGTACGAGGGGAAGAGGAGGGAGAGGAGGGAGAGAACGGGTGAGGGGAGAGAGAGAGGGGGGAGTTGGTGGTGGGGGGCTCTGACTCAGCACGCTCGCTCCTCACCTCCAGCAGCGACCTCACGGAGAGGAGAAGGAGGAGAGGGCTGTCACATATAGTATGTATTAGTCCTGCATGTAATTATAAAGCATTTTATTGTCCGATAATCAGGAAGTGCATCATTAGCAGGCTAGTTACAGTGATCTGGTTTCTGAGAGCCGTGGAAAGTGTTGTAAACTCATCGTGGTGGATAATTAGGATGCTCAGAATGCATAAGATCAGTAAGAAGGAACTTTGGACCATGCAAACCACTAACAATAAAAATCAGGTAGAGTTTGAAGTTCCTGGCGCAGGTCTGGACTGTGTTCTCTGGACCGTGCCCTCCTGTACGAGCAGAGCACAGAGCTGTCCACTGCCCCGGAGCAGCTGATCCTGTTATCTGTCACCTTGGCAACAGTCACATGGCCGAGCCGAGTGAAAAGCTCCATAATTGGACCATTGTTTTGGATTAGAAGCACTTGACATAATAGAAGAGAGGATCGGGAGCGATATGAGAGCAGGCAGGACTGTAGACAGGTCTCACATGGGCAGGAGGGAACAGTACCACTGACACTGCACTTATTGAGTTTGGGGTTTTAACATGCTGCTTCTAGGTTGTGGGTTCAAACCCCAGGTCGGCACACACAAGTCTTTGAAAATAATCAGTGCTTTGTGGATATATAACCATGGTTTAAAGGCTCTAGCTTGTGCCCACTGTCCTGAACTAGATTTAGGATCTTGTTGCTGTACTAGCTGGGACCTGTCTCACGCCATACTGACTGTGTAACACTCTGAATGAAGTTCTACACATGAGTCTGGGATGGTTCTCGCTGAAGCTATTGGGACACTCAAAGCACAGACAGGCGCAGTGGCTGAGGTCGACCTGACCTTTCTGTGTGGAGTTTGCATGTTCTGCCTGTCTCTATGTGGGTTTCCTCCGGACACTCCAGTTTCCCCCAAAACATATGTTGTTACTGTGAACAGGCCTCCCTCTCCAAAAATCTGACCTGTAACTTGATCTAGTTCTCAGCTTTTCTCCATGGAGAAAAATATGTTGCTATACAATGGAACCTTCAGTGTTATTTATTAATTAATATTTGACCCTCCTTTATAATCAGTCTAACTTCTGCTCTGTTCTATTTATGTGTGTGTGTGTGTGCAGGTGACGTTCACCAAGAGGAAGTTTGGCCTGATGAAGAAGGCCTATGAGCTGAGCGTGCTCTGTGACTGTGAGATCGCCCTCATCATCTTCAACAGCTCCAACAAACTGTTCCAGTACGCCAGCACAGACATGGACAAAGTCCTGCTCAAGTACACAGAGTACAATGAGCCCCACGAGAGCCGCACCAACGCAGACATCGTCGAGGTGAGTGCCTACACTACACCACTGCTGCTGAGTGCACTGCAGTACCGTAAGTCTGTACTGCAGAACTGCGCTCACAGTTAGGGGACGGCTTTACAAAGAACATAGGTAAAAGTGGGATTTGGAGGGATACGCAGAAAACAAGAGAGATTATTCATACTGATCATTCACAACATAATGTTTTCTGTGGCCCCATTTGTCTGTGCATCTGTAACAAGCTTCTCTGGTGTTATAATTTATACAATCATTCCCAAGACAATTTTCAACTGAAGAGTGGACATTAATTGCTTTTCTCCTACAGTTTACTATTACGGTGCATTTACACTAAACTCAGCACTAACCCTGGATTATAGACCTGAGGTTCTGAGAAATGAGGCAGAAGAAGATCTGAGCTCAGAGAAATTTCATTGTACACTTTATGTAAAAGTTTTTATAAATGAGAGCCCAAGACTAGATGAGGACCAACACAACCTCGTCCACCAGCCCGAAGGTCAGAGGATCGATTCCCGTCCAGAGTGCACTGAGGTCTTAGTCCGAGGGGCCGGTGTTGCAGATTGAGATCCCTCTTCCCAGAGTCCCTTCTGTACATCTGGCAAAGAGCTACAGAAACTAGAAACTAGCCTCTGGCATTTAACACAGATGCACTGTTGGTCAATATGCACTGTCCTTGTAACAATAAAATCAATACATTCACATCCTCGCTTCTGTCAGTCTCCACCTCTCTCTTTTCAAATTTGGAATCCTGCCTAAAATACTCCCAAGAACAACCACAAGTTTAAAATGCAATACAAAGATTAACTCTTCACATCCCAACCGTCTCCCCTTTCTGATCTCACACCAGCCCTGTGCAGGCTGATAACCTCACCATAACGGCCTCCTAACCCTATCTCTACATTATAACCCTCTCCACGCTACTCCTACTGCTCGCCGGATGGTTGTCTCCAATGGCAACGGGCGCCGCGATGTCATCTTTTTAGGAAGTGATACAAAGTCAACAAGCTCTCGTGGTCTTCGGGCTTAAAAAGAGCGGAAAGACGAAAAGAGGCCCACTTGTTCAGCCATCAGAGCAGTGAAAACAAATTAGCCTGATTAGCAATTCAGTGCTAGCCAAGAATCATGGAAATATTATACAAATGTTTATTGCATGGTTTTCCGATTACGTCATTAGATTTTATTGGCGGATACATTTACAGTGAATGGGCTGGGTAAATATAGTGAGATGTTGGAACAAGACATTTTAATACATCTTACATTTGTTGATTTTTCTTTTCAATAATGATCACCAAAGTGTAACATATAACATTTAACATAGATAAAGGAATACTGGACAATCTTCTAGGGATTTTAAGGAATTGTATGTAAGATTTTTATGTTAAATTCCATCCATTCTAAATCTGATTTATTCTTTAATATTGGACAAGATGGCCAAGTTATTATAATATCATTTGGTGTTTTAGTTCTCAAGATGATTATCCAATGAGAAAGCAGCACAAATCTCTTGTGAGTCTCTTATTTGGGTTGCCAGTTTCAATGCTGAATTCCCGTTGGTTTAAACCGAAAATGCCTCTCTCTGATCTGAATGATCACTACCTAAACCCCAGAACTTGTAGACAATCATGAATCTGTGCTAATGCAGCCTTTGCGGCTCAGTGAGGGAATTCTGGGGGTTCTGAGCTTTGATTTATGTCTTTATTTTGGGCAAGTAAGAAATTTACATTCATTTACCATAGAAAATATAACATTTATGAAATCATAGCAAAAATAACAATGACAAAAAAATTAAAAAATGGCCCAAAAAAGTGGGAAGAAGAAAACTTATTTAATCCCACCCCCCTCTTCTAATCTAACACAAAGCTTTCTTTAGAATTTTTCAGACATTTGACATTAAACTATGTGAATTATTTACAAGTGCGGATAAAGAGTCACTGTTATAGTTTGGAACATAACTCTATTGGAATAATACATAAGGATACCAACAATGTTAAGGAAAATTAAAGATACCAACAGTGATAATGGATGGCACATACCAGCAGTGGTAAAGAAACAACAAGCATAAAGCAGCACTACAGAAGGCAGTATTGTCCTAATGTTAAGACCCACTCTCTCTATACTGTGACCAGAACATATGTTTATATAACAACATGAATTTATAGATATTTTGGCATTGCTTGAGATGTGTATCCAGTCTGTTCCAGAGTTTTGCACCACATATAGACACACAGAAACTTTTACATGTAGTTCAAACATTGGACAACTTGAAATTTCCATACTCTCTAAAATTATAAGCTCTCTCTCTCATTTTGGGTAAGCTTTGTACTTGATAGTAAATTGTTGAATGCTCTAAATAAAATTACCAGTGTATAATATTTTACAAAGTCAGGAATCTTTAGGAGCTTGGATTGAATTAAAAGATGATGGGTGTGTTCTAAAAATCCAACTTTATGGATAATTTGCAAAGCTCATTTCTGTAATATAACCAATGGATGAAGTGTACATTGGTAAGTGTTCCCCCACACTTCAACACAGTATGTGAAATAAGGGAGAACCAATGAACAGTGTAATGTACGAAAGGCTTTTTGATCAAGGTAGTATTTCACTTTGTTAATTATTGCAAGCTTTCACATGGCCTGTCCATATACTGAGAAGGAGAAATAACTGCCTGTGTCCTCTATCTGCAGGTTATGGCACTCGCAACCCAGGTTCATTTGTAATTCTAGTATCTTATTTAAAACTGTAAGCGTACAGGCCACAGGACACAACCTGGTACATTTATTCTACAGGTAGTATTTATTGCTTTTTTAAACATGCATTCTTACTGTGAATGGGGTTGCCTTTTCTCCACAGATCTGATCTATTCTGACCTCTTAGTTAAGTTAAAATAAGGTTAAAAACAGTAGCTGCTAGTAGGCGTGTCATGATCATTACTATATTGACTTAACGTTCCTTATATGAAAGGTGGACCAATCATTTTTTTGGGGGTCTTTATTTATCTTGGGCACTTTTTCTTAGTACAAGTGGGGAACTTTTTATTATTTTACTGCATTAAAATAAAAAGGTAAGATATGAGCTATGAAAGGTTGACTCATTTTAGATACAAACTAATGATTTAAGTGTTTTATTCTCACAGTTTTGAACCATTTTATATATTATTTAGAATATTTCAGGGTGGTATAATTCAACTTTAGGGTTATTGTTTTGCATAAATTAGTTTCAGTATTATCATTTATCGTCTATGCTTTGTTATTTTGTTATCGTGACAGGTCTTGCTGCTAGTGTCAAAGATTGGTTATTAATAAGAGCTGTTTTGTAGTGATGTGAGTGTGAGTTTGAGAGAGTAAAAGAGTAAAGAGAGAGTTTTAGTTTTGGGGCAGTTGGAGCAGGTGATGTTTTGGTGGTGGATATTTGCTGTAGACTTAGTGAAATGACACAGTGTACGAAGCATCAGCTGTGGATCATTATGTGTCTGTGCAGCACCGGTGTGGAGGGAGGAGAGGAGAGAGGGAGAGCGAGAGGGGAGGGGAGATGAAGGGGAAGATAGAGAAGGGCAGAGGAGAGAGAGGAGAGGGGAAGAAGGTGAGGAGGAGGAGAGATAGAGCAGGAGGAGAGAGGTAGGAGGGAAAGAGAGGAGTGAGAAAGAGAGAGGGAGATAGGAGAGGGAATGAATAGTAAAGAGGGAGGAGAAATGGAGAGGGGGTGAAGAAGAGGAAAGGAGAAGAGGAAAGAGAGAAGGGAATGAAGAAGAGAAAGATGGGAAGGGGGGGAGTGAGGAGAGAGAGGATAGAGGGAGGAGAGAGAAGGGCAGAGGAGAGAGGTAGAGGAGGGGGGGAAGGTGAGGAGGAGGAGGAGAGGGGGAGGGGAGAGAGAGGAAAGGAAAGAGAAGGGCAGAGGAGAAGGGAGGAGAGGACAGAAGAGAGAGAGGAAAGGGGGATAAGGAAGAGGAGCGAAAAGGAGGAGAGATAGAGCAGGAGGAGAGGGGGGATAGAGAAGGGGTGGACTAAAGAGTGAGGAAAAGAGGAGAGAGGATGAGTAGTAAAGAGGGAGCAGAAATGGAGGGGGGGAGAAGAGGAACGAGAGAAGGGGATGAAGAAGAGAGAGATGGGGAAGAGGGGGAGAAGGTGAGGAGGAGAGGAGAGAGAGAAAGAGAGAAGAGGCAAAGAGAGAGTGGGAAAGTGGAAAGAAGAGATGAGAGAGGGGGAGAGAGAGGGGAGGAAGAGGTGTAAAGAGCGGGGAGAAATGAGAAAGAGCAAGAAAGAGAGAGAAGAGAGGAGGAGGGGAGGGACTTAGAGGAGAGAGAGAGGGAAGGGAGAGAAAGAGGAGTAAAGCGGTGGAAGGAATGAAGGGAGAGTATAGATGGAGACAGGAGTGGAGAGAGGGATGAGCAAAGAGATGAAGAGAGGAGAAACTGATACAAAGGGTAAAAGAGGTAAGGAGAGAGATGTGAGGGAGAGATATAAACAGAGAAAGAGAGAGGGGGAGAGTAGAGAAAAGAAGAGACGGAGACAAGAGAGCAGTGGCACCATGAAGGGCATCACCTGCATGAAAAATACATGCACTCATTCAACACTTGTGCACCACTCACCGCAACCATGTCTCTGACCTGCCCACTCTCTCTGCTTCTATCTCTCTTCCTCTCTTTTATTTCTCCAGAATTATTGGTCCTGTCAACACAAAATAAAAACTGTTGTGACCCTGACACTCCGCTCTTTACGCCTGAAGTCCACCTGTCTATCTAAGATGGAAGAAGATCAAATCGAAAAGCGAAATCGATCAGTCGGGGGGGAAAAATTGTGATACATTTTTTTTCCCCAGCCCTAGGTACAACGACGCACCAACCAGCCTGACCTCCTCCAGGCAGTTTACCATTTGAAACCACACTATTTACTGTTCAAATCACAGGAAATCCAGGAACTGTCTGCTCTGAAATTTAGCTGAATCATAGTCCAATGCGGTTCATTTGGTTTTCCGGTAATTTATTAATTGGGTTTAGATTTTGGCAGTGCCTT